ATGTCGAGCCCGTGTTTCCCCACGCCGACGTCGCCGATGCTTCGCCGACGTCGCTGATGCATCGGCGATGCATCCTCGATGTATCGCCGATGCATCGGCGATGCGGCGCGATCCTCCGACCCCATCTACTCGGACCCCATCTGGGAGGCCGCTAGCCTAGGCCGCCCAGGCGGCTTGGCATCGCTGGGAGGTGTGCGTTTTTCTGAGTGAGGACAAACGGGGATGAACGTCCGAGCGATGTCAAGGTGGGGTCCGAATGGACGGGTCGGGGGAGTGCGCCGCGTCGTCGATGCATCGGCGATGCGCCTCGATGTGGGCCCCGACTTACTCCTCGCCGACGGCGCCGAAGCGCGGCCGAGACGTCGCCGAGGCTTCGGCGATCCTCCGACCCCATCTGCTCGAACCCTGTCTGGGAGGCCTCTGGGCAGCATCGCGCCGTGGAGGCGCGTCGGCGGTCTCTGCGCGGGTTGCGCAAGGCTGAGGGCCACTGGCGGACCGAGCCGAGCCAGTCTTGGAGCGGCACGTGGTTTCGGGCGGCAGCAGCTGCTCGAGGCTGATCGGTCCACGCGGTGTCCTTGGGCGACGAGATCTTTTTCGCAAGCGCTGGCCGTGCAATGCGGTCTCTGCGGGGTCGACGGGCGGCGGCCGCCTTGAGCCATCTTGGAACGTCTGCCCCACGACGCGACTGGTCTCCTACCAGCCGGCGTTGCCGTGGTGCGCTCGGGGGGCAACCTCCGCGGCCTCCTTCGGCGCACCTGGCGAGCTCTAGTCTATCCACCGCCGCGGGCCATGCCCATTCTGGATGCCGGGGGCCGTATACACCGCTCCTGGGCCCAGGATGGGCCTGGCCAGCGGCGGTGGATCTGTACGACAGCTCTCGTCGCCGGTTGCCAGAGACCCGAGTGCACGTCGTCGCGACGTGATCTTGCCGTGAGGGCCAGGCTGGCTCGATATCGCCGTGGTACAGGCGCCGTGTGTGGACTGGCTGGGCTCGGTGAGTTGGTCAGGTGGGTGCTCAGGAGTGGTCAGGCTTCGTGTCCTGCACGGTTTTTGCCCACAGGGACGCAAGGATTTCTCCCTCACTCAGGCGCGCGCGCGCGTGCGGACAAGCATGGAGCGTGCCCCCCCGCCGCGAGGAACGCCTTCTGGCTGATCGCCCGGAACGCCGTGCGCTTCGGCGTGCTAGGAGCTCCCCAGCTGTGAATGCCATGCGCATCCCTCCGTCCGGCCTGTCCTGCTTCGTTCGTCTGCGCTCATTCCTGCCTTCTCGCCTTCCTTCTTCCCCGTTTCCTCCTCTAGTTTCCCTGCTGCTGCTGCTGCTGCTGCTGCTGTTGCTAGCGGATTGCAGGGCGCGGCGCCGTGTCCATTTTCCACGCTACGCGCGGACCCGAGACGGGCGGCTGGCAGCAGCAGCCCGATTTTGACCCCGCGGATTCCGTCGCCCTGCAGCTCCAGCGCCTGCTGTGCTCGGTGGGCGAGTACGAGCCCTCTTCTAAGTACGCCGACCCCACGCGCCAGCGCGCGAATCAGATGATCGAAGACCCGCAGCACTCCCTGCGTACGTACACGGGTCATTTGATGGAGCGATGGACGGCACGCGCTGGCGCCAGCATTGTGCGCTGTACGCGGCCAGGTACCTCGACAACCCTCACTTCGACATCCTGCTCCGAGCGAGGGCAGGTCGAGACGGCCACGACAACTTGGCCATGTCGCAGGTTGACACGGCGATCGAGATCTGCGTTGCTGCTTTCAGGAGGCGCCGTAGGGCGCGCCAGAGGTACATGGCCTCACCATACCACCTGCGCGACACGAGCTGCTTGAGCACCTCGCAGCTCTCGATGTACTCGGCGGGTGAGTATAAGCTCTTTGCGAAGGACGCCGACCCCGCGCGCCAGCGCGCGAAGCGGACGATCGATGGCTTCTACGGCTTCAACACGGGCATCGGTGACGCTTGTGGGGGCGCCGCCGCCGCCTCCAACCTGGACCTTGACGGCCGCGCTGCCTCCCCCCCCGCGTTTTCAGAGGTGGAAGGCTTGAACGCTGGCCTGGCTCCTGCGAGCGAGGCCATGCCCCCCCCGCGGTGGTCCTCCCCGATCCCGCCAGCGGATCGAAGTGAACACGGGCCATGCACAGGGCCTCTTGGGTCGTCGCCTTCTCGTTCGGCGACTTCGCCCCCTGGACTTCGAGCACCTGCTGGTGCTCCCGCTCGGCCAGGTGAGCTTCAGGGGCCTGCTGGACTTCGGCCTCCTGATCCTGAGCGCGGGCTGCCCGCTGGTCTTCGAGTGCCTGGCAAGCCCCCCGGTCGTGGACTTCGACTGCGGCGGGTGTGCTGAGGCCACGCGGGCCAAGCGGGCCGCGACGGTCGTGATGCGCTCGGCTCGCATCCGTGTGCTCAGGTCGGCCCGTGGCAGAAATCGCCAGGTGGTTAGCCTTGGACTGACCCCAGCTGGGCGCCGCGCAGCGCACTCGGCCTTCTTCGTTCATGCGGCTCGTCGCTCTCTGACCCTCGACCTCCATCTCTCGCCTGCTGCTGCCTGGTCTGTCGCTCCCGTTTTCGCCTGTAGTGCGATTCGCGCCTCCGCCGTGCAGGGCGGGGCGTCGCGCAGGTGGACGAGTCTGGCGCCAACTGGGCGTCTTTGTGCGGCCTTCTGCCTGGCCCGCAACAGGCCTCCGACTTGGCGGATGCGTTCGCCCTGCTGATGCATCTCGCGCGTGTCTCGCTGATGCCCCTTCGCTGATTCTCATGCCTTCACGCCCTTCTTCACTTAATCTCGAGCTTCGCGCGCGGCCGAGCCGAGACCACGGGCGCCCGCTGCGAGACTGCCGACCTGTGGACTCGAATCTGGGATCGGGTGGACGACTCGGCCACCTGCGGCGCGCGAAGCAGCGGGGGCGGATCCCTGCCCTGACGGTAGACACGGTGCCGCCTCTTGGCTCGCACGAGCCAGTTCCGTGCGACACGGGCTTCAGGTGCGCTCGCTGCTTCCGCGTCACGCGTCTGCTCCTGCCGAGTGTGGCCTGGTGGGGGCCATCGGATACGGAGCGTGGGGCTCGTTTTCTGCGCCCGCTGCGGTGCGCACTCGAGCTCGAATGCGTAGCTGCTGGCGCTCCCTTGCCGCGGTGGGGTCCCGTCCCAGAGCCGCCCACGGCTGGACCGTTTGTGGGCAGGCTCCCACCCTCGCTTGGGCCTGCCGCTGCAGGCCGCCAGGCGGACGGCTGACGCCCCGGCCTGTCGGTGATTTCGTTTTGTTGGTGGAGGACGAACACATCGAGGGACACCTAGCTTCCTGTCTACGCCGGCTGGCACTCCCTTGCAGGAGGTGCTCGGGCTTCTGTTGTCGGGCCTCTGCACGTCGCCGTACACGCTTGCAGTCGCGCCTTGATAATACTCCTCTTGCTCCTCCTCCTCATCCTCCTGCTCCTCCTCTTCCTCCTCCTCTTCCTCCCCCGCCTCCTCCTCCTCCTCCTGCCGCTCCTGCTGCTCCTGCTCCTCCTGCTCCTCCTCCTCCTCCTCCTCCTCCTCCTGCTCCTCCTCCTCCTCCTCCTCATCCTCCTCCTGTTCCTCCCCCTGCTGTCGTGAGTTTTGACAGTCCCGTTTTCGTGGGATGTGTGCAGCGGAGGCTCGCTTCAGATTCCAGACTGGGTCTCGGCATTCTCCTGATGGTCCCGTCGGGCCAACCCGAGCCCTAGTCTTACATCTCCCCGGCGAGAGAGCAGCCGCCCGACTCGCCACGGGCAAGTGCCTTGGCCACGGCGGGTGTTATGCGATCTACCTTTTGTCCCTGCCCTTGCTCGCGCCCCAATCCCACAATGAGGCCACAGCGGCGGCACGGATAACATTCTGGCCTCCAGAGCCACGTTTTTAATCCATGCCCTGTTTCCCTTGGCGCCCAGAACGGGGGGCAACAGCAGGGGCATGGATCGAGCATCGATCCTCCAGGGGAAGGTATGTGTTTGATGAACGGTGGAAAACCGTGCAGATCTGGAGGCCCGCGGGGATTTGTAGTATCGGCGCTGGGCCCCCGCGCTAGTGCGCGGAGCGCCCCGGGGGCGGGCGACCTGATCCGAGAGGGCGTCCGGCGCCGATCCAAGAAATCCGCGCGGACCTCCAAAGGTTGTGCTCTTGCTTGTTGTTTGGAAGTGGAAAACCTGCGCAGGCTTCTTTGGGTTTCAGAGGGTTCGGGCCTGGGAAGGGGGGTATGGCAAGAGGCGGATGACGAGGTGGAGGAGGAGGAGGATGAGGAGGAGGAGAAGAAGAAGCAGAAGGTGGAGCAGGAGGAAGAGGAGGAGGAAGAGGAGGAGGAGGAGGAGGAGTGAGGAGGAGGAGGAGGAGGACGAGGAGAGAGGAAGGAGGAGGAGGATCGAGCACCGAGGATCGAGGAGGAGGATCGAGGAAGAGGATCGAGGAGGAGGAGGAGGACGAGAAGAAGGAAGAAGAAGCAGCAGAAGAGGGTGTGGAGGGGGAGGAGGAGGAAGAGGGGGAGGAGGAAGACGAGGAGGAGGATCACGCACTGGAGGATCGAGGAGATCGAGGAGGCGGAGGGCGGAGGAAGGAAGACGAGGAGGAGGATCACGCACTGGGATCGAGGAGATCGAGGAGGAGGAGGAGGAGGAGGAGGCGGGGGAGGAGAGAGGAAGGGAGGAGGAGGAGGAGGAGAGGAGGAAGGAGGAGGAGGAGGAGGAGTAGGAGGAGGAGGAGGAGAGGAGGAGGAGGAGGAGGAGGAGGAAGGAGGAACAGGAGGGAGGAGAAAGAAGACGAAGGTGGAGGAAGAGGAAGAGGAGGAGGAGGAGGAGGAGGAGGAGGAGGAGAGGAGGAGGAGAGGCGGAGGGAGGAGGAGGTTAATCGAGGAGGAGGATGAGGAGGGGGAGGAGAGGAGGAGGAGGAGGGGAGGAGGAGGAGGAGGAGGAAGAGGTACGGACAGAGGGACCAGGTGGAGGAGTAGAGGAGGATTCGAGCAGGAGGAGGAGGAGGATGAGGAGGAAGAGGAGGAGGAGGAGGAAGAGGAGGAGACGAGGAGGAGGGAGGAGGAGGAGGAGGAGAGGAGGAGGAGGAGGAGGAGGAGAGGAGGGAGGAGGAGGAGAGGAGGGAGGAGGAGGAGGAGGAGGAGGAGGAGGAGGAGGAGGAGGAGGAGGAGGAGGAGGACGAGGAGGAGGAGGAGGAGGAGGAGGAGGAGGAGGAGGAGGAGGAGGAAGAGGTGGAGGAGGAGGAGGATCGCGGAGGAGAAAGAGGCGGGAGCAAGGGCAGGGGGTGCAGCCAGTGGTTCGCGGCCTCTTTCCTTCGGCAGGCCCGGCCCCTGTCTTCCCGCGTTTGGCGCCTGCTCCGAGGGGGGGCCGCTGGTGGTTTACGTCTTCTTTCTTGCGGTAGGCCCAACCCAGGTCGCCGCGCATTTGGGTCCGCCTTTCCCCACTCGAGAGTGGCGCGGGTCAGGGGGGACGCGAAGTGGTTGCCTGGTCTGCGCCATGCGGCCATCCTCGCAGGATTGGGGCTGGGTCTGGAGGGGCGGTGTTCGCGACTCCTCGGTTTGGATCTGGGGCTTTTTCTTCGAGCAGGCCTTCGTCTGTGCAGCCGCACCTGCGTCACGGCATCCGGTCCTGTCTCCAGGATCCCTCGGCTTCATCGTGCACCTCATCGGCAAGTACCTCATCATGACAGCGACGGCTGTCCTCGGGCGCTCTCGGCCACCCAAACCTTGCCGAGCGGTGCTGCCTTTGGCCTGTCCCCTCCCTTCCCCTCGCCTTCGGGTGTAGCTAGGACGTGGATCCATCCTTTCCAGATTGCTCTCGAAAGCTTTCGGAGCGTGGCGGAACGCTCTGAGAAGGCCGCGGCGCCCAAGACAACCTCGAGAGCCGCCCGATCTTTGAGATTTGCAATATATCTTGACCCGATGTTATCTCGTCCTGGTTTTGTCTTACGCCCCCCCAGCGTTCTCTTCACAATGGTGTTCCCGCTGCAGCGCTGGCCACATTTCAGGATCAGCTCTTCGCTCTTGTCGTGCAGCATAGCGCTCCGGCCCTAGCACAGGCCAGGCTCCGACTCCTTTGTCGTCGTTGCCGCCTTCCTCTTTTCCCCTCCTCCGCCTGCCCTTGGTCCTCCTGCTTCACCCGCTTCTCCTCCTGCTGCTGCTGCTGCTGCTGCTGCTCTTCCTCCTTCTTTCTCCTCCTCTTCCCGCTCGTTCTCCTGCTTATCCGCTTCGCGCAGCCCAGCTTGTATCACGCTGTTCTGCTTCGGAGCCTCGCTGCCAGCCTTTCCAAGCTCGCCGCCGAGGACGAGCAGGAGTCTGGCAGCAAGAGAGGTCACGTTTTCATCAGATGGCCGAGAACTGTCTTGGGAGTTACTCCAGGCCTGTGCACTCCTTCGAGGCTAGTAGCTTTCCAAGGTGCACACTGCCCTGGGGCTGTCCAGCCATGCTGCCGACGTTACTGGAGTGCGGAGGTACAGCCTCCCCGCACCTTTAGCGAACTCAGAGGCGAGCTGAAGCGACTCAGAGACAATGGTCCCAGGATGCCTCCCATACAGTGGAGACCCATGCCAAGAAACAGCCTCCAGGGTGCCCTGGGTTTCTTGGGTTTCGATGGTTTTGCGATGGAACGCGTGACGATCCTGTACTAAAACTCAATGGGCGTCCTGGGGTCGCAGGGTTGGAATTCTCCTGGAAGGTTTCTTGTGGTCCAGCTCTTACTGTATTCAGATGCTCCGAAAGGCCACCAAGGTTTTCCTTGCCACGACTGCAGTGGAGGTTGACGTTTTCAGATCTTGGCATTGCGCGTACGTGAGCAATGTTGCGCTCTCCACCTTGGGGTATATGTCAGATCCCTGTGAACAATGGTCTATTTGGTCAAGTGTGATGATGTACGTGCATGTTGTGCTCTTGGGTACCCCAGCAGGGGGATGTCGTCCGATAGCACTCCTGGTGTCACTGCACCGTGCCCGGGCTAAAGCTCGTAACGATACTGTTCGGCGTGGGCTTTCAAATTTGCTAGACCATATCTTTGCAAGGTACGGCGCAGTCTCACATCCCTCGTCGAAGTCAGGAGATAAAATGGTTTGCACTCGAACGTCGACGTCGAGAAGTACTTCGATCGAGTTGCTTGGCGCCGCATCATCGTATGACGGTTGTCCAGGCAGATCGTTGCTTCCAGCCAGCTTATCGTAGAGCAGTCGTGGGTTGTCCTCGCACAGCTCGCCGCCATGCTAAACGATATTCAGTCAAAGCCAGCTGAGCGTAGGATGCTCGCGAACCAGCTTTGCAGAGCGAAGGTTTCGTTGGCGACCCGCCGTGCTCAGCTCCTGGGGCCTGCCCAGGCTCCGAGGAGCACAGGTACGCCTCGTGTGTCTAGCCCGTAAGGTGCTGGCCTGTCGACACAGTCTGCCGCAGCTTTTGCCGAGGAGAGTGGTACCCCACTGGAGCGTGTGGGGCACCCTCGAGGCCGCTCCTGCGAGGAAAGATTACGCCTGAGCCGTCGTTGCCGTCGTCGTCGTTCCCGTCGAACCCCCAGGAGGGTGGCTCGAGCAGGGTTCGAGAAGAGTCTCCTAGGTTTAGCTCTCCGCCCGTCACGGGCCTGGCTCGGGAGCACGAACTGACCGCGCTCACTCTCAGCCGTCTCTCTGCAGGGTGTCGGCCCGTCGGCTGGGGCCGCCCCCGTCCAACAAGAGGAGAGCGGCGCCCCACCTTTTGCTTGGTGGGGCCACCCTCGAGACCGCTCCTGAGGCCATCGGTCCCGCGGTGCCTCAGTCCGCTGGACCCACCAGCAGCCCTCGAAAGTGGCGACTGTGTCGCAGATCGCATCCCCCCCAGGGACGGCGAGGTCTCGCTCAGGTCCCCGCAGTGCATCAGTCTGCTGGACCCAGCAGCAGCCTTCGAAAGTGGCGACCGTGTCGCAGATCGCAGCCCCCCAGGGACGGCGAGGTCTCGCTCAGTTCCCCGCGGTGCCTCACTCCGCTGGACCCACCAGCAGCCCTCGAACGTGGCGACCGTGTCGCAGATCGCAGCCCCCCCAGGGACGGCGAGGTCTCGCTCAGGTTCCCGCGGTGCCTCAGTCCGCTAGACCCAGCAGCAGCCTTCGAAAGTGGCGACAGTGTCGCAGATCGCAGCCCCCCCCAGGGACGGCGAGGTCTCGCTCAGGTCCCCGCGGTGCCTCAGTCCGCTGGACCCACCAGCAGCCCTCGAAAGTGGCGACAATGGTGCAGATCGCAGCCCCCCCCAGGGACGGCGAGGTCTCGCTCAGGTCCCCGCGGTGCCTCAGTCCGCTGGACCTACCAGCAGCCCTCGAAAGTGGCGGCAGTGTCGCAGATCGCAGCCCCCCCCAGGTTCGGCGAGGTCTCGCTCAGGTCCCCGCGGTGCCTCAGTCCGCTGGACCCACCAGCAGCCCTCGAAAGTGGCGACAGTGTCGCAGATCACAGCCCCCCAGGGACGGCGAGGTCTCGCTCAGGTTCCCGCGGTGCCTCAGCCCGCAGGAACCACCAGCAGCCCTCGAAAGTGGCGACCGTGTCGCAGATCGCAGCCCACCCAGGGACGGCGAGGTCTCGCTCAGGTCCCCGCGGTGCCTCAGTCCGCTGGACCCAGCAGGAGCCCTCGAAAGTGGCGACAATGTCGCAGATCGCAGCCCCCCCAGGGACGGCGAGGTCTCGCTCAGGTCCCCGCGGTGCCTCACTCCGCTGGACCCAGCAGGAGCCCTCGAAAGTGGCGACAATGTCGCAGATCGCAGCCCACCCAGGGACGGCGAGGTCTCGCTCAGGTCCCCGCGGTGCCTCAGTCCGCTGGACCTACCAGCAGCCCTCGAAAGTGGCGACCGTGTCGCAGATCGCAGCCCCGCAGGGACGGCGAGGTCTCGCTCAGGTCCCCGCGGTGCCTCAGTCCGCTGGACCTACCAGCAGCCCTCGAAAGTGGCGACCGTGTCGCAGATCGCAGCCCCCCAGGTTCGGCGAGGTCTCGTTCAGGTCCCCGCAGTGCATCAGTCTGCTGGACCCAGCAGCAGCCTTCGAAAGTGGCGACCGTGTCGCAGATCGCAGCCCCCCCAGTGACGGCGAGGTCTCGCTCAGTTTCCCGCGGTGCCTCAGTCCGCTGGACCCAGCAGGAGCCCTCGAAAGTGGCGACATCGTCGCAGATCGCAGCCCCCCAGGGACGGCGAGGTCTCGCTCAGTTCCCCGCGGTGCCCCAGTCCGCTGGACCCAGCAGCAGCCCTCGAACGTGGTGACCGTGTCGCAGATCGCAGCCCCCCCAGGGACGGCGAGGTCTCGCTCAGATTCCCGCGGTGCCTCAGTCCGCTGGACCCACCAGCAGCCCTCGAAAGTGGCGACAGTGTCGCAGATCACAGCCCCCCCAGGGACGGCGAGGTCTCGCTCAGGTTCCCGCGGTGCCTCACTCCGCTGGACCTACCAGCAGCCCTCGAAAATGGCGACAGTGTAACAGATCGCAGCCCCTTGGCAAGATGCACACACAAAAGGTACCGCAGCCAGGATGCACACACATACACACACACACACACGAGGTACGCACCCGACATCAGGAGACAAGAGGAAAGCGAGAGGCGAGAGGCGGGAGGAGGAGGATTGGAGACCGCAGTGCTTCATACAAAACGAATATCCAACCAAGGAGGGTTGGGAACAACTTATCAGAAGGCCAGGGAACTCCCGAGTCCTCTGAGAAGGCCCTCTGCTTCTTCAGTATTGTTTAACCGATCCCCATTCCCATTCCCATCCCCATCCAGACCCCCACCATCTCATCCCCCCAGTTGGGGATACACCCTTCGAAGTCTGACAGAAACTGCCTACATCCCCATCAGAGGGGTACATCGGCCAGTGGGGCACAGCCCACGCTGGTGGGTATGGGGATCGGTTGAACGATGCTCAGCTCCTCACTCTCCTCCCCCCGCTCGCTCGCCGCCGAGCCCGTCTCGGACTGCCTGGGGGGGGGCCCTCGCTCGCGCTTGCGCGCTCGCGCTCGTCGGGCTCGGGCCCGCCTCGCCGAGCACGCCCGGGGTCGCCACGGCGCCCCTCGCTGCTCGCCCGCCTCGCAGCCGGCGAGAGGGCGCGCCTCGCCTCCCGGGCCCACCCGGCGGCTCCAGCACCCGCAGGTCCGTGCGCCTGCGAGCCGCCTGGTCTCGGTGTCAGGGCCACAGGGCTCCTTTCGATTCCTCCGGTTCGATTCGATTCGCTTTCGATTGACTCCGATTTCGATTCGATTCGACTGTGGATTCCGATCTCTTACTGGACGCACGCTAGCCTGCCGATGTCTGCCGATTCGACTTTTCCCGACTCGGCTGCCGATTTCCGCCGATCCGATTCATGTCGACTTCAGATCCGACTTGTCGATTCGATTCTGGGCTCCCCTGGGGCCAGGCCGTCGCCGTTCTCTCAAGCAGGGGAGCGACTGCAGAACTGAGTCACCCCGAAATTGGTTTTCCGTCGAGTCTACGAGAAATGCGCAGGATGCTCCAAATTCGGGGTAGATCAGTTCTGTAGTCGATCCCCCAGTCGAATCTCGGGGCGGCTCTCTGCCCACGGCCTCCTCGGCCTCGTCCTCCGCGGCCCGACGGGCCCTGGAGGGCGCCCCAGGCAGGCCAGTGCCAGCGTGCAGGCCTTGCGTCCATCCGTACAGCCCGCAGAGGCACCTGCGTCCTCTGTCGCCTGCCGCCGTCGCCGGCTGATGGGGACTCGCCTCCAAAGCGCTGAGCCTCGAGCTCTGCGGCCCCCCCTGCCCCCCCCCTCCGATGGGGGGGGTGGAACAGCGAGGAACGGAGGAGGAAGCGAGACGCAGGGTGATCGAGGGCGAAGAAGATTTAGCAGGATGGGGGGAACATAACACTCGTTTTGGCAAGGGCCCCCGACGGGCGGGTCGGGCGGGCTGGCCCTGACGGGCGGGTCGGGCGGGCAGACCCTAAGGGGCTGGTCGGGTGGGCTGGGCATTCAAGCGGGCGGGTGGTCTTCCAAGTACGTGAACGGGTAAGCCCTAACGTGCGGATCGGGCGGGCGAGGCGAGACGCTGGGAGCCTCCTAAGTCTCGCTGGGGGTCCCCAGGCTGCCTTTTACGTACAAGTGCCCGCTGGCGCTGCTTCGCTGCGGGCTCTTTCAGGTTGCGTGCTCTTGGTGATCCGCCACCTCCTGCTGGCCAGAAGCTGGTGGCAGTGGTGTCATACTGACGCTGCCATCCTGCGCCACCACGTATATATATATATATATGTATAATCCCAGTGCGACCCTACCTAGGAGGTGGAGCCTCTAGATGGCTATGCTATGCTATGTTATGCTATGCTATGCTATGCTATGCTATGCTATCCGATGCGATGCGATGCTATGCTGCTGCTGCTACTACTACTGCTGCTGCTGCTACTACTACTACGACTACTGCTACTACTACTACTACTACTGCTACTACTACTACTACTGCTACTACTACTACTGCTGCTACTACTACTGCTCCTACTCCTACTACTACTGCTACTACTACTACTACTACTACTACCACTACTACTACTACTATACTACTACTACTACTACTACTACACTACTACTACTACTACTACACTACTACTACTACTACTACTACTACTATACTACTTACTACTACTACTACTACTACTACTACTACTACTACTACTACTACTACTACTACTACGACTACGACGACTACTACTACTACTACTACTACTACTACTGCTACTACTACTACTACTACTACTACTACTACTACTACTACTACTACTACTACTACTACTACTACTACTACTACTACTACTACTACTACTACTACTACTACTACTACTACTACTACTACTACTACTACTACTACTACTACTACTACTACTACTACTACTACTACTACTACTACTACTACTACTACTACTACTACTACTACTACTACTACTACTACTACTATTGCTACAACTACTACTAGGGGGTATCAATTTAGTAGTAGTAGTAGTAGTAGTAGTAGTAGTAGTTATAGTAGTAGTGTTAACCTGTTATGCTAGTCTATGCTATGCTATGCTGCGCTGTGCTATGCTGTGCTGTTCTGTGCTGCGCTATGTTTTGCTATGCTATGCTATGCTGCGCTGTGCTATGCTGTGCTGTGCTGTGCTGCGCTATGCTATGCTACGCTATGTTATGCTGCGCTATGCTATGCTAAGCTGTGCTCTGCTATGCTAAAGTTCATCGAAGTTAAAATGAAGGTCAACTAAGCTAAGATAAACCTGAGCTAAGATGACGCCAAGCTAAGCTAAGATGAAAAAAAGCTAAGCTAAGATGAGATAAGCAACGCTAAGCTAAGGGAACGTAACTGGGGGAACCGCGGGGCGGATCCTGGGGGAACCGCACGGGGCGATTTCCACTGCCCGGCCCCTTTAAGCAAACAGGGTAAGAACCCTTCTAGGCAGAGCCTAGGTAGGGAATAATTCCACACACACACACACACACTCTCCACTGGATTGTTCCTGGGTCTCAGGGGAGGGTGGCGGTGTATAAATCACCACTGAGAGCCAGCGACTTCATACACCGTCCCCTCCCCGGAAGGTACACGCAAAGTTCGTCGGAGGGTGTCTGTGTGTAACTGTATATATATATATATATATACACATTCGCGGCGTACCCCGCCCCCAGGGGCTGGGCCCCCTGGGGGGCCTAACCAAACTGAAGCTCCTCTTGCTGCTGCTGCTGCTGTCCCTCCTCCGCTTATCCGCCACCTTCGATGCCTCCGATGCGGCGAGAGAGGAGAGCACGGCGGCCAGACTCCCTCCAGGGTCAAGATGTGTGGAAGGCCGAACCTGCAAGCCCACTCCCCTCCGATCCCCCCGTCCCCCCCGGAGCGCGCCTGCGTGACCGCGAGACGCGACAGGACCTGGGGAGGGGGTGGAGGACGAAGAGTCTGTAGGGCTCGGGCGCCCGTGGTGGCTTGGCCAGGGTTCCGAGAGCTCCACCCGCCCTCCCTCCTGGGCGGCTCCCTCCGCCCGAGCTTCCCGGGACACTCCTCCTCAGGACCTGGCCGACGCGTGGCTCCCTCGAGGCTGCCGCTGCCCCTCCCCCTCCCTACTGGGCCTCCCAGAGATGGCGCCCGAGCAGGCGGCATCGGAGGATCGCGCCGTATCGCCGAGGCATCGGCCCTACGGCTCGATGTGGAGCCTGATTTTGTCCACGCCGACGTTGCTGGTGCATCGCTGGCGTCGCTGATGCATCGGCGATGCATCGGCGATGCACCGGCGATGTGGCGCGATCCTCCGACCCCATCTGCTCGGACCCCATCTGGGAGGCCTCCATCCTCCTCCTTCTCCTCCTCCTCCTCCTTCTCCTCCTCTGTGCACATCTCCCAGGTCTGATTGCGCATCACTCGATGCCCTCAGTGTGGGAATACAGGTCCGCTAGGGCACCCGTCGGCAGAAGATAGATGTCAGATGTGGCGCGAGCGCGCTTAGTTTATGCTCTCCTCTCTACTCTGCCCTTCCCTCTTTCTCCCCTATCCCCCTGCCCCCTGGTTGGAGGAGGTGGAGGAGGAGGAGAAGGAGGAGGAAACTGAGGAGGAGGAGGAGGGAGAGTAATGGAGGGAGAGAGGGAGGAGGGGAAGGCGGCGAGGGAGGAGGAAGGGGAGGCGGACGACTTCCTATCTCTTGTTAATCCCAGGTTCTTGATCTTGGAGGAGATGCACTCGGACGTCGCCGCAGGACCCGCTCTCGAGTTTTCCGGCCTTGGCTCCCTGCAGCTGACAGAAGAGTTCCGTGGAGGCGGAGGGGGAGGGAGGGAAGGAGGTCACGTCCCGCCGACATCTTGGCCAGAACGCCCCCCCCCCCCCCCCCGGGACACGTCCGCGGCGCAGTGATAGCGGCTTCCTCTTGCCTGGCCCCTCCCCGCCCCTCCGTGGCGGAGGCGGGCGCCGAGAGGGAAGAGGGGAGTGCGGCAGAACTCGGGGTGCCCGCTCTTCCGCCCGCCCCCTCCCGTGCCTCCCTGGCAGCTGCTTTTTTTTTGTGTCTGGGTTCGCCCGAGGGGCGCGGGCCCGTGGGCCCCCCCCCCTCCTGCTTCTGCCCCACTCTCCACAGGCCAGATCTTGCTGCTCTTGGCGGCTGGTTTCTGGCGATTGGTCAGGATCCCCCTCTAGCCTGCTTGCGCGACTGGTAAACGCACATCGACCGAGCGCCGGCGCAGACTCAGACGCCCCCCCTCAGGTGCAACGATGGGGGGGATAGGCTTGCGGGGGGTATCGGCCCCCAATCGCCCACTGATCGGCGATAGGGGCCAGATAGCCCCACCCCGCCCAGGAACGTGCGGACTTGCTACCGGGGGCCTCTCGCCGATCTATCGGCGATGTATCGCCGATTCCAGGTCGATGCTTCCCCCCCTATGCGCCTATGCCAGTCCCCCCTATCGTTGCCCCTCACTTCCCCGCCCTTTTACCCAATTCAGAAGCCCAGAATTTTAAAAAGGAACCCGGCGCGACCCCAATCTGGGGAAAGCTTCCTATTGCATGGGCGCAGTGTTTGGCATTGCCTAGCAATGCATGGGCTTGGCATTGCTTCACATTGCTTCGCATTGCTTGGCATTGCCTGGCAGTGCTTGGCATGCGGCGCCGGGGTGGGAAATCCGGGGAACCTCCGAGAAACGGGCAAAGTAACAACAGGAGGCACCGTGGCGGGGGAACCCAGGGAATCTCCGAGCAACGGGCAACGTAACATTAGTAGGCACCAACCTGTAACCAAGTAAGCATCCCGTATGCATGCCTAACTGGGGAAGCAACGCTTGCTTTGCTTGCGGCGCTGCCTCGAGGGCTCTCCCTCCCTCTCTCTTCTCCCCCCCTCGCGCTCTGGGCCGTCCCGCTCTACCTCGCTTGCCTGCCCTGTCCCTGCCTGTTCTGCCCCCTGCCTCCCGCGTTCCTCCTCCGCCTCCTCCTCCTCTTCTTCCTCCTCCCCCTCCTCCTCCTCCTCCTCCTCCTCCTCCTCCTCCTCCTCCTTATCCTCATCCTCATCCCCCTCCCCTTTCCGCGCCCCTTTCCGTCCATGCGTCGCCTCGCCCTGCTTCTCGCCAGGCCCCAATCCACTCACTGTGGAGTGTGCGCGCTGTGGTGAAACACATCTCTACAACTGCACACTTTGAGAGTTAACTCCCTACCCTGACTCTGTGCGGAAGATGTTCGGCCCTCTCCGCTCATGTTTTTGTTTATGCATCGTATTCCAACACATGTTTTTAGACTTGACTGTCTTCGGGGTTTCAAGATGGTGCTCCCGCTGCAGCGTGGGCATCATTTTCGGATCAGTCCTTTGCTACGGTCGTTGCGGATGGTGCTCCTGCCCCAGCGCAGGCCACTGGTCTGGATTCGAGCCCTTTTTCATCGCTGTCGCACCCCTTATTTCCCCTCCGCCTTCCACTGGTGCTTCTGCTCCTCCCATTCCTTCCACTCCAGTTTTCTGCTGCTGCTGTTCCTACTTTATATTTGGCTCAAACTGTTTTGGCGCAGGAGGGAGATTGCGTTCACCTTTTATCTTTCGGTTCTGATCGCACTGTCTACTCTTCGTTTTGCGCTCCTACCCAGGTTCCCGCGTCATGAGCACGCATGTGGCGCCATGGCGGACAAGGGGTCTTTTCGCGGGCACCACCATGGGCTGACATGGATGGCGCTGAGTGAGGATGTAATCTTGTTTCGGCTTGCAGTCGTGCTGGCAAACCTCGCATTCTGTAAGTAGAACCCCCGCAGTGTCTGCTCCGACTGCGGCGGTTGGACCTGCAACATCCAGCACGTGCCTCCACCGTCGTGAACTTCTCTGCCCAAGTGGAGCCTTGTCTGGTGAAGTTGCACCGAGGGAAGGTCAGCCATAGCTGGCGGAGTTGCAGGCCATCGCTAAGCTGCTGCTCGAGGCGCAGATATAAACAGACATTGGAACCACTCGTGCCGAATAATGCTGAACCCGGGTACCATGTGTCTGAGGGTGTATCACGCAGCGGAGGCGGCGAAGTGGTTGGGAGCAAGATCTTGCAGCAGGCACTCGACCGCATTCACAGACGTAGGAACAAGTTCAGGCTGTTGGCCACTGCGGGCCGAACAGGAGGCAGAACATATGGTGGCGAAGGCTAAGCGCCGCGCGGCAGCGCCCGTGCTACCCGCCAGGCAGCCACAGAGTTTCGTTCACCTCGGTCAGCTGCGTGATTGCGAGGCCACTTCTACGATAGACATCAAGCGCGGAGGTTCTACCGGTTTGTCCAGTGACGCTTTCAGTGGTGAGGATCGCAACTCTTTCAAGGATTCCGGGACAGAACCGATGCGCAAGGCTCAGGAGATCCAGGAGAAGGATATCCAGGAGAAGGCAGTTGCGCACACACAGTGGCAAGGGCATGCTGATCGTCATGCTTCGCCGTTAAAGAAAAGAAAACGAGAAGGTATCCTCAGGGGCGGGGGCCAGGGTCGAGCAGCGGCCGCAGCGGGCGTGGCAGGAGGCCGCGGGGCAGCCAGCAGCGCTTCGCCCAGTGAGGGCGCTGCCCGCCCCCCTCCCCCCGTTGGCTGCGTTTTCGAGACATCCCCCCTGGGCCTCGGCACGGGGGGGGGTGCGGGGCGGCGGCTGATTTCAAACGTTAGGCTTCGGCTAAGCTCGCAAAGCAGCCAGACAAGGGAGTTGAGCTGCAGCGCTCAATGCAGGCCCGCAGCAGTCCCAGTAGTCGCGAGTCCAGGGCCTTGCGCAGCGATGAGGCTTGCCCGCCCAAGCTTTTGCTGTACATACGGATGCTCGCGTGAACAAATGGATGCATATTGCGTCCGCGAGCTACGAGATGGCGCCATCCCCCGCAGGCAGATCTCGGTGCTACTGCTTGAGCACCGCTCGAGGGGATCAGCCATGAACGCGATGATTCAGGAGCTGAATTCTGTTGCGCGGAAACAGCAGACGTCCCAGCAGGTGCGATGGTAGTTGCTCGCTCCCACCCCCTGCTCTCTGACCTCTCCCTCCACCAATCCTCCTGGAATGTGCCCCCCCCTCGAAGTCGAGTTGGCTGATCTGCGCGTTCCTCGGGCTCTGGGGGCCCAGTTGTTGTTTGTGGAGACCGCGCCATGACTTTATGTGATTTGGGGTTCACTGATTTTCCCAGGGCGTTTCCGTTGGGACATGTTCAGATGCCGTGAGATCCGCGCGCTTGTAAAGTAGGAGGCAAGGCCAGCTTGATTGATTATTAGTTGTTGGTGAGAGAGAGAGAGAGAGAGAGAGAGAGCACATTGAACCCAGTGTCGATTTGACGGGCTGGAGGAGACGGAGCCTTGGGGCGGTCTCGCGGGTCTGCGTCTCCGAATGCGCGCGGCCCCCCCTGCCCCGTCTATCCGGCGTCTCAGAGCCCGGGCTGCCTTGGGCCATCCAGGAGTTCGGGCATTTGTTTTTTGTTGTTGTTGCTGTTGCTGTTGCTGTTGCTGTTGTTGTTGTTGTTGTTGTCCAGCGTTTTAAGCTCGAGTCCAATTTCCCAGGCCGAGCCATCCAAATTGTTTTGCAGGCGACTCTCCTGTCCAGAGATGGTCTCAGCTCAGGTATGATGAACCTGTCGCGCCTGATCACCTCAGTCAGGTTGTCAGCGAATGGGCTTTGGCTGTCGAGCTGAAGGCCTGCCAGCGGCAGGGCGTCGAGGGCTTGTCCGGTCGCTCTGTTGCGCCGCGCATTCCCGGGAAATTCGCGGCGCCCAGTCAGGTTGGCGCTGGCTGTCCAGCTGGCGCCGCCCTGAAGCTTTAAGTTTTGCGGGGTCGATGCGGCCGTGGGGGGGTCGGCCGCCCCGCGGCCCCGACCAAATTCGATGCCGCAGTTCAACGGCCTGATCAGAAACCTCTCTCTCCTCGAGCTCGCCCCCCCCGCCGAGTAGAATGAGTTGTGCCTCCGGACAGGATGGCCGCAGAGTTTGGCCTTGTTGCCTCTGGGCGGTCGGCGTCGGGCCATCAGCCTCGACGACTGCCGAGGGCGAAGGCTCGCGCGGAGAGCGTCGGTGGCCACGAAGGCCTCTTGGCGCAAGTGGTTGCGAGGCGCCATGGCCGTCGACAAAAATGACAGAGCCGGCCGAGCCTTGGGGGGGGTCCCCAGGGCTCTCCGCGGCGCACCCGCGGACTAGTCCGAGCGTGGACGTTTTCGGTTGCTCGCGGATTACGCCGCGCACGTCGGCCCGGCGCGCGGTTCGCTACGATCGGAGCGAGCGCGCGTGAAAGTCTGTCGCGCGGGCGTTCGCGAGTGCGCGGCGCGCCCGACTCGCCGTTGCGACGATGCGCTAGCGCGCGCTAGCGCGCGCTAGCGCATGCTCGCTTGCTTGCGCGCGCAGTCGCGCAAGGCTTCGCGCGCCAATGTGAGCGCGCCCATGCAGATGTGCGCAATGGGGGTGGCCGGCGATGCGCCCGCCGAGGGGCCTAGCCCGCTGGCGGGCCACGTCGCGCATTCTCGCGACCGCAGGTTCGCGAGGGTGGAGACGACAATTTCTGCGTGAAGATTTTCGGGGCACCCCCGCCTGGGGGCGCGTTTGGCCGCTTTTTCCTTGCCGACGCCTATGTCGATGCAATTGGCGATGTTTCCAGCCGCCTCTCTGGATGCGGTTGATGTTGCTTCGCGCCCTGTTGTTTGTCGGTGTCTCCATCGGGGATTTTGCGCGATCTGCGGCGCGTTGCCTCGTCCGCAGGCGCGGGGAATGCCGCCGGCGAGTCCTCGGAGCCAGGTCAACAATG